TATTAAACCTTATACATATATTCGGACTACATGTATATCTAAATAGATATACATAGTTCTTTTTTGGTCTCTTTCATATTGCAATCTTTACAAAACAAATGAGCAAATGTTTATTATCAATAAATATATCCAACTAAGGAAAGTGTAACAAAATTTGAAAGAATACATTCCAAAACTAGTTGTTTCCTAAAATTACAACTCTCCCAAAACAAAAGGAGTAATGCTTATAATGATATGAGACTTAAAAACTCGAAATGTCACTCATAGTAGCTTCTATCTTGTCAACTAAAACTTACCCCTCAAAACAAATGGTTTTAATTAAAATTAAGCACCATATTGCATGGCTTAGCTTAATACACATAAAAAATTCAATTAAATATTAAATTAGAAACAATAATATAATATAGAGTATATGTTAGAGTATTGGTAAGGCAATCAAGAGATGAGTTATAAGTGTACTCCACTAAAGAAGAGACAGCTATCCCCATTAACGCAACTTCCTTAAATTTGGAACACTAACAACCCACACACAGGTGCTTTGCCTTGTCATTTTCTTATTTCCTCATTCCTTTCCTTCTGATTTGACTTTCCTTTCCTTTCCTTTAAATTTTTTTTTTCTTTTTTTTTTTATAGATTCTCATTTCCTAATTTTTAACAGGGTAATAAGACTAATAACTCCAATTATACATCATGATTGGTGTTGATAAATTTGTATATGGAGTAGAGAGAGTCATAAAGGACAAAGAATATATGTAGGATTTGATTTTAAATTTTAAATTTGTTCCCCTAATAATTTAACTAAGATGGCTGGCATCCATTGCATAGCAACACGTATCCTCATACATTCTATTAGTACGAGTATTAAAAATGTAATATATCCATTACAACTTTTACTTCGATCCGGCCTTTTGGTAGGAACGAATGATTAGATTAAAATACCAAAATGAGTGGCACATAGTAAAGTATCATTACAATCACCCATGTTATAGATGTTGGTGATGATGAAGTTCAGATGACACAGCATTAAAATCATGCAAAACATATCGAAAGTAGAATTACAGAATTTTTGCATGCAACTACTTGTAGTTGCATGCCCTAGTTGGTGTTATATTAGAACCCTTCTAGCTTCCATAATCTGAAAGTTTGGGTTGATATGTGCCCTAAGTGATGTATATATCATTCTTCTAAATTTATGCCTATTATACTCGTTTTTTTGGACCACCTACCGAACGAACTGTTATAACTATTGGACTACGTGTTGTATTTTCCAACATAAATTTTTGTTCATCACATGTTCACCTTAATAGGTCTCAAATATTGTTAAAGTGGCTATTTGATAAGTTTGCGCACACTTTCAATTCAATACTCAAGTGGTAGCTACACAATTTCTTTTTAAGGATGATAATATAATCCATTATTACAAACTAATTACATAGATTGATTATATACAAAAACTGTCTTATTCCACCTCATTACCCATTTACGCAGCGATGAGCCGATGAGTATCCAACTAAATACATAACTACAACTAGTAGTGGACTTTGGTGAAGATAATAATAACTTAACCGACTAGCACATTATAACTAGTTTTCAAATTTAATTTATTTTGGACTATTAATAGTTAGATTACCACTTGCAAACTTTGATGCATAACATAAAACAATATTGATGCTTTATAAGGCTTATCGTTGATGGTTTTAATTTTATAAATCACAATGTCAAACTTCCTTGGCATATACATTTGTGTTGCTTCTTATATATTCTGGTGAACGAGTATCCTGACACATGTATATGATCGATATAATATTAAGGAAACTTTCAAGTTAAAATCATGTATTATATCCGTTATATATTAATTATTTACAATGATTTGACATAAAGTGTGAGTAAAAATGTCTAATCGTTGCAAATAATAATATGAAACAGAGGTAGTATGTCAATTCAGCCGCCCATGACTAAAGTCTAAAAATGGTTGTGGACTGTGTTTCATGCTGGCTTTACATGTCTTGAGAGTTGAGGCTGGCTATGCTTTGCCCACGACCCAACCCGATTGTTATACGAAATGAGGTGCCAAATATTTTAATAAAAAAGCACCCCATGCATGGCCAAATCCCACATGCACCGTATTTTGTCACGTCTAAGGAGCTATTAAGTTTATCTTATTTTTGCTTATCTAATCTAATCTGATTTGAACTTATTTTTTCTGATCTAATTTGATATAATTATTTGATTTGATCAAATTTTGACCTTATATATACGCTAATTTATAAAAATAATAATAATAAAATTATATATCAAGTGGGATCTTTTTAGATTTGTAATAATGTGTATTTTATTAATATGTAATATTCATAATTTTTTAAAAACTAATTCAAGAAATTTAACAATAAAAAATCGCGCATTTCGTGTTCAGAATTTATTTTTTGATTTAATTTAAACTTATTTTTTCTAATTTAATTTGAAATAAGTAAAAAAGCGGTGCTAAAATAAGGTGACCTACTAAACATGGCCTAAGTCTAATGCAATTCTATTATTATTGGGAATTGTATTGTACTTATCAGCTGTCAAATTATCTAGCTAGCTAGGGAGATCAATTAGTATCTAATCAGCTATTGAATTTCTTAGGGTAACAAAAATTAGCTTCTAAGTATATTCTTTATAACACTATAAAGGCTATATTTCAGTATAGCTATAGCATGATAGCATCTAACTAAACTAAAAGGTATGCCGATCACTTCCGGGGGACTTGGGACTAAATAATTACGATCCATGTACAAGGTATCCCTAAATCTGTGTAACTAAAAGTTGAGAGCAGGTTTGGTTACTGTTTTTTTTTATTAGGTTGAAAACGGATTCGGTTAAGTCATTATCCTTTATCAAATGTTTGATTAAGAGATTTGGTAACAATTATCTTTACCTAAGGGTAAGGGATTCCACCTATTTGTTACCACTCTAAAACCTAAGGTAAAAAATACCTACCCTCAAATACAAATGGATTCCGATCCTTTCCATAGTTAAACCAAACAAAAGAAAAGGTAATAGTTACATGATTCCTTCCTCTCTCTTATTTGTTTCCTTTCCACTTCGTTTCCATTGTTCTAACCAAACCCCCCCTAGTGTGTTTAGAGATGTCCTATCTGGCTTGGGCTCGTAAAAAAAACCTTATTTAGTTTATTATGATCATTAGAAGTATAGAAGGCAAGAAACTAATGTATGAAGGCGTATTTGAACTTGTGACATATCATACTCGAGTTCATCATAGTCTTTGCCATTAAGTTATACCTCATCGCTAGTTTCAGTTTCACATGTATGTACCTATTTAATAAATCCACGTTCATAATGTTTGTACAACTTTTTACAGTAGTGCTCTAAGAATTTTCCAACGTTAGCATACACTATAAGAATATATCATCAATCTTAAGTGGGACATTATCTATATAGAGTAGCACAATTAACATCTAATGGATCACCAAAAAAATTCCTTTGTACTTATTAATGAAGCTGCACGCGAATTTGAGACAGATACATTATATGATGACTTTTTATTACAAGAATAACATTAATTCCTAATTGATTGCAATCCAAAATGAGAGAATAAGTATAGCATGAAATTGAGAATATAATTTCACTCTAATGAAACTTATTCAGATTCGAATAACTCAAGCACATATTTTAGTTAAATGGATCACAATAATTCACATTCGAAAATCTCAACATTTGTTGGATTATTCGCATTTCGTTAAAAGAAAGTTTTTGGGCTGGATGGTAATCTGGATGCAAAACGTTTATTATGCATCCATCTCTAAACGACAACTACATAATTCCTCCGTTTTTTTTATTACACTATTTTCCTTTTTAGGAAATTACATATTAATTGCACCATTTTCATATTTGATGTGCTTTACTCACCCTTTAGTTGTGTTTATACACAAAATACCCTAACTACCCTAATTCACATGTAATAACAACTATTGTTACTCATGTTTTTTCTCTCTCATTTGATTGTTTCACATACATGGGCAAACTTAACATTCTCCACCTTTTACTCTTTTTCTTAAAACTTATGCCCATACCTAATGGCCTGGTGCAATTTAAAAAAAAAACGTAAGAAGTATATAAAATGCATGCCTCACTCCCTTCCAAATATAATATAGTACTAACGACTTTTTAATAGCTGGTAATAAATGGTGGTAATGGAAATGATATTTACATGTAAATTAGAATGAAATTTAACATTGTAATCCCCATACCAATGCAGTTTCATCCTTAAGCATGTGTTTTCTTCATGTTTTTTCATTACCATATTCATCAATACCACCTAGGAAGAGGTATTAGGTTTGAATAAAAATTCCTATAGATAATTGGTCAATTTGGAATGCGCTAGCATTACCATGGAAATTAACCTTGATTTTCCTAACAAATTTTCATACAAATTCATTCCCATTACCATCATTTATGACCACCTAACAAACGGGCCATAAGTGCTAAAACAAAAGAACATGTAGATATTAATTAAAACCATTTAACACAAAATAGGTTTCAAATACTACCTAAGTTATTTGTTTATCCCATTTTTTTAAAGTCATCTTTGCTATCCTATCTAATTTCTCTTAATCTACGAATTTTTGTAATATTAACCATCAAATGTGTAATTTCATTGTTGTATGCATCTTATGTTTAGTTGGTGATGTTGCAGTCAATTTTTCCAATTATGTACTAAGTAAAATCTCTTAATAATTTATTCATAATACCATGTATGCTATTTCAAAATTGGCATGCATAATGTACATAAATCCATTAAAATTTATAAGCAATACTATTAGCTACTTGTAAAATATAATATGGACGACCTAACAAAGTGGGAGAATGAGACAAGCTCCACATAATTGATTTATCGTGTTGCTTATTTAGTAGGTAAAGGATATAAAGCCCGTCACACCTTTATTTATTTGGTCTTTTTCATCATGTTTTTGCAAATTGCACATCTTATTCAAACACGTCCACGTACATTTCATTCCACGAGTATATACACACTATATATATTCCTCTACTTATAAACTTAACTAGGTAGTAGAAAATTATAAGCATTTCAAACATTCTTGCTTATAGATTAAACTATAGTATAATAAATAAAAGAGAGGGCAAATAACTATCAAATTGAATAGAGATGGAATGGAGAAAATGTTACTTGGATTTGCTATTGGTTCCTTTGAGTTTCTTGGTTTTGACTATATATCATATATGGATATGGAATAAGGTTCGAACTCAGCCCCTCTCTACCATCATCGGCACCAATTCTCATGCAAGAAGATATTGGGTTGCAGCCATTATGAAGGTACGTTATAACTCCTTTCATACTTTCTCATATGGAAATATATACAGCTGCGACTCATTGGATGACCTATTTTTACCCATATAAATATAGTTCATTCTAACTTATGATTTGGTTGGAAGTGATTTATGATTATACATTAATTAGCAAAAAAATTTTGTGCACGGTGAAAATGATAAAGATGTCATTTTAAATTTTCATAAAATTCTAGATAGTTAATTAAGTAAGCTAACTAATCTTGGGTTGGATAACTTCGGTGAAAAACTTTGAAATTGTGTAGAAGTTGAGCTATAATTTAATCAACAAAAAGGAAGTAATGGTGGGAAAGAAAGACTAAAGTCTATGTGCGAGAGTTTACTAAAGTGTGTATATTTTTCCTATTAATGTCACATGTATGATTTGGTGTTATTATTTAAAATTTCGATGCTAAAATAAGCCATTTCATCGTATTTTTATAAAATAAATTTTCATCTTTCTAAAATAATACTGTAATGACTCCGTATAAGATGTTATCGTATGCTTCCTTGTCCTTTTTGAAAGTTTTATACTTTTGTAGTAACTAAAAAATAAAAACGAGAACATACATCTCATAGATGAAGTATTATTTTTTATAGCACTAATTTTAAGGCAATACATCTTCATCCTTGATTCCTTGTTTAATAAGTTTTCATTTCTTGATTGGTCATATATAAAGTGTTTAACTTTCAACCTTGCCTAACAAAAAGACATCATCACAAAAAACAAGTTCCATGTGTACGTTGATTATACATGAGGAAAAGAAAAGACATTTAAGAATTGCAAAACCAATAATCTCGTGAAAACTTGGTAAATAAAATGTGATATTTACCTTATTAAAATGATAATATCATTCGTACACGAAAAACATATTTCATAAATAGAATGAATAATAATGCATGTGCATGAGCGTTACAACTATATACTAACTAATAATAATATTGATATATTAAAAAAAAAAAGAAAGAAAGAAAACGCATGCAATATGAAAAGCTAAGACGGCTAATACCTTACTGTCGTTGTGAGGTGGTGATGATAACGGTTTATAGTTAGCTAGTAGTTGTTTGCACGCATTTTGGCAAGCAATTTCAGGATGTTTAACAACTTATACAATAATACAAGTGTTATACAAGTGTAAAGGTGTTTTAACAATTTTAATAACATTTTCTACATTGCTAAATATGGTTAAATACTTAAAATAGAGAGAAGTAGTTACAAATAGATAGTCATGATTTTAGTATGTGCATAGGTTAACTTAGTTAATCAACTACTTGTATTTATTTTCTTGGAGATTTTTTTTCTTAATGTAATATGTTTAATTTTTAAAGTAAGACCCTATTTTGTCTCGATTACTTATTATTTCACCATATATGTTGATATGCCCCACTTAAACCCACTATACCATCAACGCATTAACTAGTAATCCTCAGTTCCTCACTGATTCTCTTATGTCCTCTTCTCTTTTCCATGATATAGTGGTCTGAGGATGTGGAAATCACGGGTGGTAGTGTTGTGGTGGTAGTGGTTCGAGAAGATAGATGAGGGTAAAAGAGAAAAAAGTTTGGTTCTTATATACCTTAGGGTCACCACCCGCTGTCTTATTCTAAACTTGAAAGACCTGACTAGCCTTGACACGTGTACTTAATCAATTAATCTATAATGCTCAAATTAAAAAAGGATTTATAGGATATTTTTAAGAAAAGAGGTAATGTCAATTTCATGTCAATTAAGTGATCGAGAGAGGAGCTAAGGTTTAAAATAATTATACTTGTTCATCAATTAATCAAATAAGTGAACTCAAACTTTCTGATTGATTATTAAGGTCATTGAATAACTATTTTAGTATAAAGTACTATGACAATGATGAGTTTAGTTTGTGCATTTACTTTCGTGTTTTGACGTATATATGCTACATTTTTAAAGTGTACAATGGCTTATAGGCTATATAGCATAATAGCATTGCTAGACATCTTCAAGTTACAGATCTTCTTTCAATATTTCTATAATTACTTCATTACTAATTATGGAGTACTTCGTATTTAGCATTGGATAATTGAAAATTCAAAATATTTAAGCCACTATATTCTTAGGTACTTGTATAATAGTGGTCTTTAAAAATTGAGAAAAAAGTAATATTTTCACAAACATATACTTCCATTATTCCAATGTAATATTGTACTGTATATATTAGACGTGTATTACTCTATATTCACTCAATAACCAATAAAAATAAGCTTTGTTACAACCAAAATCATACAAGTAATTGTCCTAGTTAACCTTTTACCTTTGCGTATATTTCCTTCCAATATAATATTATAACCCAATAAGTTCTATAATAATAAAAACCATGACATAAACTTTTGTAACATAGGTAAATGGTTCAACAAAATAAAGTGTATTATGACTCGTCCAATTATAATGCAATATGGTTTTACTTTATATTACATGCTCACATCTTCTCATACTTATTGGTTATTCCTATTTATTAAAAACTACCAACATTATCTTCACTTAGCAATGGTTCAACATTCACGTCACGTAATTATTGCATTGTCTCTTTCCAATTTCACGTTCTTTTAATAATTTTATGGCCTTATGTACGTAATCTCTTTAACAAAGTTTGGGTTTGTTGTCGATTAATTGAAGCATATATAAGGTATTGTTATTTTCCCTTAAAAGTAAAGAAGGTGTTATTATTTAATAAATTGTTGAAATGGTTGTAGCACTAGGCCATTTTTGGAATCACTCTATTTTATACTTATATTATATTTGTTTCATATGATTGGCATTGATCTTTTAATGTCATATATTAAGAAATTGTTAGTTATTGTATTGTGTATCATTTAAGGTTGATAAATAATTTTTTTATTGATATTATAAATTGATACATGATAATGTAGTAGCGATATTATTACACAATATTGAAGTTATTTCTTTAAGCTTGTGACTTGTAAAGGAGTGACACTGATGGTTAAATTTAAATTGATACAGTTGTTATATAAGGGTCGGGTGAAGCCTTTTTTCACATACTATTGAAGTTATTCCTTTAATTATTTCTTTTTCTTTATGGACATGCATGTGTGACGTGTGTGACCTAGTGTAACATCAACAAAGACAACAATACACCAATATTTGACATGCATGATGACATTGATTCCTCATATCTTTCAAACTATACACTATTCACATAAGATGATATGCAATCATCCATGAAAATTGATGGTGTACACGTTTGCATGCAGGACAATGAAAAGAAGAACATCCTAGCCGTCCAAACCATAAGAAACACAATCATGGGATCAACCCTAATGGCCACCACTTCCATCCTCCTTTGCTCAGGCTTAGCAGCCATCTTAAGTAGCACATACAGCATCAAGAAGCCGTTAAACGACACCGTGTATGGCGCACACGGCGAGTTCATGATGGCTCTCAAATATGTGACCTTGCTCCTCATCTTCTTGTTCTCATTTATGTGTCACTCATTATCAATTAGGTTCATTAATCAAGTTAATTTCTTGATTAATACACCTCAACATGACCTAATAGCTGCTAAAATTCCACCAAGTTATGTGTGTGAATTATTGGAGAAAGGGTTTGTTTTAAACATTGTAGGAAATAGGCTTTTTTATGCTGCCCTACCCCTTTTGCTTTGGATTTTTGGGCCTGTCTTAGTTTTCCTTTGTTCGGTTGCCCTAGTTCCTATATTTTACAATCTAGATATCGTGTTTGAGTTTGATGATGATTTGGGTAAAGGGGATCACGAGATGACTCGTGAGGATTTCTTGTCTGTTTGAATAATTTGATTCTATGTTAATTAATTGCGAAATATATGAAATGAGATCGATAATATTTGATGGGTTTTGTTTTATCTCTTTGTATACTTATGATTGATATGATTTTACCTTTTAAAAAGACTAGCTAGCTAGGTTATTGATCCAATTATGTGTATGATATGATCTCCGCTACCCAAAGAAATTTGAAAGTGTTTATGGAATTTCGTTACTATAGTGAAAGCTTACCGTACGGCGTACAATAATTATTTTAAAGGAGTATAAATTGTCGACAAAAACATTATTTGATAAGTAATACCAATTGTGTAAGTACTTTGCAGCTAGGATGCACGGAAACGGATACGGACACGGACACGGACACGATACGGACACGGGAAAACGGCAATCCTAAAATAGGGGACACGGGTACGGCGTATAACAAGGCATATAATATATTAAAAAAACGAGAATTTGACAACTAATTCAATAAAACACTAAATAATTAGCCTCAAAACACACAATTTTAATTAAACAAGTAAATGAACAAAGTGTACGGACATAGTCGGATACATATCAAGAAACCATCAAACCAGACATGTCTTAATAGTACTCTTCAAGTAATCAAACAAAACTAGAAACATAACACAAAATCAAACATCTCATCAAGTAATCAACAAAACTGTCAAAACACGGTGGTGGGCGGTGGTTGTCTGGCTGACGACGAACAACAAATTGAATTATTGAAGCAATTGAATTTCAGAAAATCAGAAGTTCTTACACACTTACACTGATTAAAACCCAAAAAAATTCCCCAAATTAGCATTACTCGAATTCACTTCAGAATCACAGCAATTGTTGAATGGCAGAAATTGAGCTCTAGTAAAGATAACAATGGAGCTCAATTGTTGAATGGCAGAACACCAAGAAATAAGCACGAAAAGGCTGAAATTGAGCTCCATTAAAGACAACAATGGCGGAGACTCAGAAAATGAAGACCGATTAAGTTCTCTCCCAGACTCCATTCTCACCGACATTCTCTCACTTCTCGACATCCAAGGATGCATATTCAGAACTTTAATTGAATTTAAAAAAAAAAGTAGAGAAGAACCATACCTGGTGGCTGACACGGACGACGGGCGACAAGGTGGGCGGTGGAGTGATAGGTGGTGGCTGAGGACGAGCAGGCGAACAGCAAGGGCCAAGCCAGCAACTCCAGCAACCCCCGCAAAAATGAGAGATGAAGGCCACGAGCAGCAAGGGTCAGGCCAGCAACCCTGACAACCGGCAAGGAGGCGAGTGGCGGTGACGGAGACAGCAAGCCGGCGGTACGGTGAGACCTACAAGTCGGCGACTGAGCAAGTGAGCAGCAAGGGGTTCAGTTGAGACTTGAGAGGATGAGAGGATTGAGAGTTTGAGAACTGGAAACTTGGAAAGAGGTAAAGAGGCAAAGCATAGGAATTTAGGTATTTCGCGTGTCCATACCAAAACGGCCCGTGTCAGCCCAAGACACGGCCCGTGTCCAAAAATCAAAAACGGTTAAAAAAAATCGGACACGGTTTTCTGCGTGTCGGACACGTGTCGCCGCGTGTCTCATCCGTGTCCGTGTCCGACACGCGTGTCGACTCGGACTCTTCAGATTTTTGGCGTGTCCGTGCATCCTTGCTTTGCAGCACATCATTATAGAGTGTACATGCATAATATAAATATCTCGACGATAATTTTCTTACAACACTTAGCTACATGATTAGATTTAAATCCGTGAATCATCCATAATGCATGTAATTTAATATATATTAAGTCTAATTACAATTATTAATGAGTAAATTATCATAGAGTAGCAATCATATCACTGAAGGCCATTTGTGTTTTTTCAAATAATATGAATATTCTAACACTTTAAATAGATTCAATCATACAGCATCGTATTTAGTATATATTTACAATGATAATGAAACATGAACAAAAGGAAATAGTACTATGAACTTCTTTATTTAGGTAAAGCTTGAATAATGAAAAGTAATGGATGTGGAAATAGTTGGTTAATGTAAAAGTTCTAAATTTGACGGAAATTTTGAAAACATCTTTTTTGTAAATTGTAATGGTTAGCTAAGAATGTGACATTTTTGGTCCATCTCATAAAGCACAATGTAATCTAGTATTCTATTTGATAAGCTTTTTAATGATAAAGCCAAATAATAAGCTAAATTTATTGCAATATGAGTAGACTCTTAGTGCTAAGCTTTCGTGCTTTCAAGCCATTATATTTTGACTAACATGACATGCTATGATGTCACATGACTTTCTATTATTATCATAGTCATTGTTTTTTTTTTTCTCCCTCAAACGTGTACTCATACAAATACATTAAATAATTAAATTACTTACCTCGTATATATATACACTTAAACTTTATTAATAAATACTTCATCCATCACATACACGAAAAAGGTTATAATATATTTTCTTTGACCAATCAATATCTTCTTTTAGGTCTAAGATTTCGTCTATACACGGGGCACGATGCAAGAACCGACATAATGAATCTCAAATATTTTGTATATTATCGCACCTTAAGCTGAATAAAGGCCAATCAGCGATTAAAATTAGACAAAGTTGGATTCAATAACACTAACTACATAGCTTGGGTGTTTTAAGCAGCACCACCTTTGACTAGTAGCTAAAACGATATTAGTAACTTTTGCAATGGTTTGTCAAACAAAATTGAGTCACTTTAACTTGTGTAAAGAGGGTCTAAATGAAGAAAGGTGGTCAAGGTTTGTCAAAAAAACATGAGTCACTTTAACTTGGTCTAGCTAGTCACCTCTTTAAGAGTGTGTTTGGATTGAAGAAAATGGAGGGAGGAAGGGAAGGTAAATGGAGAGAGGGAGTTTCATTCATTTAGATAAAAAGTTTGGGATGAAGGGAATTGAAAAGGAGAGAAATGGAGGGACTAAATTTTAAGAAAATGATCCCTCCAACAATGAAGAGATTCGGAAGGAAAACTCATCCTTCTTCCTTCCCCTTCCTTTCCTTTCCCTCCCCTTCACCTCCCTCCCTTTCCCTTCCCTCCCCTAACATTACCCAAACAAACTGTAAGTGATTCGGCACCCTTCATTGTGGGTATACATACCCTCAGTCGTCTTTTCTCATAGAAATTAGAAACTATAGTCGACATACTATAAAACTCATGTTTTTCATTTGGGGAATAGTGCTCAGATATAAAAAATTCCAAAGCAATGGAATGATCATCGATTCATTATTACTTGGCTAATATTGGGATTACACCAAGACAATCCTTTCGAAACAAACATTAACCAATCAACAAGCCAAGGCCAACTCCCAAATTCAAACAAATTTTAAAAATTGCACAAAGAACTTGAAGAATTACTCTGAATGTATACATATACTTACACAAGTATACATCTTTTCACAGCAAGAACTCCTACCTTATTAATTCTTAAAGAACCATAATATATATCAATGACATGCTTGCATTGCATAATGCATATAATCCACTGTATCATACACTTTAATTTAATTAGTCGAGTTATGAAATTCTTCGCGTAGTTAAGTTGATCTGTCTACTTATATATCTCTTCTTTTTTGGAGCACTTTTGTATATATGTTAGAGGATTATTTCAACAAAAAGTTTAAGCTTATGAATAAAGCCCAGGATTGGTTATATATTATTTCACGCTCCCTCACATGATAGAGTCGATTAAAATGTGGATGCAGCATGAGCCTCCTCATGCCCAGCGCGAATTATTCGACTTGACAAAAGATTAATTTGAACCCGTGATTTTCTTGTCACTTTGGCTCTGATTGGTACAATGTTAAAGAATTATCTCAACCAAAAATTTAATCTTAAAAAAAGGCCATGATCGGTTATACGAAGTATACTTTAACATTGTACACTTAATTACAAAAATAAATTAGAGATTATAGCATAAACATGCATGTACGGAGTATACCAAATGAGTCAATTTCAAGGATAATTTAATAGCTTAATTAGTGGATTATGATCTTTTATCTGAGTTAAATCCGGAAGGAATGACAATAATGGTGTTTCCACTATCTAATTTAAACACATACTTGAGTTATTAGTTGAAAATAATTTACTACTGAAATAATACATGATTACCTCTTTGATAAAGATGGATGAAATAGCAACTTGTTTATAAAAAACAAGCAAACGCCTACTAACATTTGTCGATAAGATTTTCTTTACAACAGCTACACAATGTTACGATATCTCTCGCACAATCTAGAACCGTTGGAAAATTACAAACAGGGTAGGAGAAATATACAAATTAGGTTTAAAGAAATTTGCAATTTTTATTTATTATATACTACAATTGCTCCATCAGAATGAATAAATAAATATCAAATTACATAACTCTAATATAGTGTTTAAGTGTTTTATTAGTAAGTTGTTGCCTACTGGGCCATCATTTATTTAAAGAATAATATAGTAACATTCTAACTTAGTCCAGCCCACTAAAGATTATTATAATAACTTCTAGAAGAGTCCAACCTCCATTATGGACCATACTAAATCTACCACGAAATTTATTTTGAAGTTGTAGAGTGAAAACACCTTCTTCAACTAACAAGGCAAAGTCAATCGGATTAACCCACACAACAACAATTTCACAAAATTTACCTAAAAACTTGTACTCCCTATGATTTTATCCGAGATTCGAGAACTGACAGTTGACATCAAATCTCGTTTACATTATTGCATTGCTCCTCTTCTCTACACCATATTGTGTATACTTTCTCCAGGTGTCAATAATTAGTTACTTGTACTAATCGCATTGCATGTTGTTTTACTTAGTATAACTAGTTTAGTCTTGTGCGTTGCACGGATTAAATAGCTCATATTTGTTTAAAATAGTTGTCAATATTCTTTATTCGAAAAATGTGTACTCGTAATCATAACCTCAATAATTAATTTTGATGAAATATTGTACTTTATTTATTTAGTCTTGAACTTAGGAAGAAAAAAAAAAGGAGAAAAAAAGGATGATGTCAAAAATAGTTTTGGCGGGAAAAAATTTCATGAGAAGTTGACATGTGTCCCTTAATGATGTCAGCA